ATTATAGTTTATCTGTAAGTGTGCAGACGGATAGAACAGATCCCGCGCCGCTAAACTACGCATCTCGCGATGCGTGACTCAGGCCTGTCATACGCGGCCCGGAACACAGGAGGTATCGTTGGGCGAAAATATGGGCGAAAGCTTGCGGGTCTGTGCCGCACCTGTTTGCAGAGTGCCGCGCGCCAAGTCGGTCTCGGAGTTGCCGTGGTCTCCGAGATCCGCGCGTGGCGTAAAGTTCATTGCGGTCCGCTCTGCGGAACAGCGAATCGTGAAAAGGCTCCCAGTTGTTTAACGGTACAATGTTTTTAAGGGGGTCATGAAACGATATCGAGTTGAAATGTTCATGAGTTTGCAGAGACGTATACACTGTCTGGCACAGACAGCAACTGATTCAGAAGTTTTTTTTTTTTTTTTTTTTTTTTTTTTGTCACGGTAAAAGTGCGAAGATAAAAGGAAACTATTTCTTTTAGTATTGCCTTAAGCCTGATGGCGTAATTGTGGGATCGAAAGCACCCGCCTGACGACACTCGAGCGCGGCTCGTGGATTGGACGCGAGAAATGCGTGAGAGCTCGACTGCGGCTCGTGACAATCAATGCCTCGGCGGACACTCGCGGCTAGTGGCTCGTGGCCAACCACTGCGGTGATGAGATCAGCCGAACTCTTAACAATGCCTGGAGCTCAGCACGCGTATTCTATTTTGCCGATCCCAGCGCGTGGCTATGATTAACGTTGGCGGCATAGGATAAACACCAGGCCGCGTGACCCCGTGTTCTGGCTCCGAGTTGAGGGGTTGAGCGATGCTCATATTTCTCGAATTTTCTGGTCGACTGCCATTGCCTATAGAAAGAAAAACTGAGGCAAATTCATTCGGCTATTCACGTTGATTCCAAGTAGGATTTAGCGAATGTAGAAAAATTGTTTCATGGGTTCTTTAAACGCGATATATCATATCCTTCGGCCAAGCTGGGCGTTTACTGCGGCGCACTCGAAACGCCAATCAGAGATCCTCATTTAATTAGATCAGTCGATCAGATATAAAACAGTAACGGAGTGAGCTTCATAATGACCCTCTCGTAGAACTTCGGCGTTTTTGCAGCTTGGGGTGGGCCGGGAACCACCAACGATGACGAAATTCGCAGGCCTTATATCTTCTATAGATGGTATCGCTCAAAGTACGTTACCGTAAGCGCGGAGCTCAAGTTCGTATGCCTTCCCGCACAACACTCGGAGAGCCAATCACCGCAACTTACGGAGGCAGCTCAGCGAATGACAATGCTGGAACATATGTTTAGACCCAAAAACGCAGTCTGAGTTGTGACATTAAGCAATGAAAAAAGTCACGCTTGCATTGCTTAATGTCACAACTCAGACTGCGTTTTTTGCGCTGCAGTGTCAATGCGCAGTACCGCACGGATGTGCAGCCTGACCATATGGAACGTGTTTCGAGCATGAGATGGCTCTTTTGGACGGGATATCGGACGCCACGCTTGCCCCTCACAACCCAGTAACTCTGTTGTTGTTGTTTTCGTTTCGCCAGTAATAAGTGCTGGGAGTCACTTATACAGCTCGCCGGGTGTGGCGAGTCTCCAGCATCTCATTATTGCTTCGCAGCCCATCAGAGTGCGGCATTGGCCGATAAGACTGCCTTATACGACCAATCACGAAGAGTGAACGTCATAAGCCACGCCCACCTAGAAAAATCAAAAGCCTAGAATTTTTGACGTCATCGCAGCGGGATCGAGCGAAGACACTGATTGGATACGACTGCTGCGTCGGTACTCAGCTGGCCCTCGTGTCGAATCAACGCGTCGAAGGATCGCTCGGCACTGGGTCCAACTCCTGAGTTGACGTTCCATGGAGGAAGGGTGGGGCATTCGGAGGTCTTCATATTATTCCAAATTGTCTTGGCCAGATAGCCCCCAAACACCGAAAGGTCGAAGTGCCAACTGTTTTCCCCCTCCAACTGGAGAAAAATAAAGAATTTTGATTTGATTTGATTTGAAGTGCATGGGGAATTGAAACTGTTTTGGTGCAAGAAACAACCGGGTCTCTCTCGGCGACACCCCAGAGATGTCAGAAGCGATCCCGTGCTCTCCGCTCTTCGTAAACTCGCCGCTTTTTTTCAGTGGAATCTCTAGCTTTGATTTGATTATGTGTCGAGTTCGGGCCCATATATGCCGGATGTGGTGACAAAACTTAAAATGGCTCCGCCGCAAAAACGCCCAAGTTTTTTTTTTTTTTTTTTTTTTTTTTTTTTTTATGTACAGTAAAAGAGAGCACATTCGTTGCCCTGCCTCTCAACTTGCCTGTAAGTTGGTCAAACTTACCACGTTTAGAAAAAGAATAATAAAAAAATCTTCACACGATTTTTTTTTCTGACGTTATTTTTTTAATGTTAGACGCCCATACCCATAGCTTTATCGTTGGCAACCGAGGTGCATCCTTGAGCAAACAGCTCGCCTCGTACAGGCGATTAAAATGAGAAGCAGCTGAAAAAGCAAAAATAAAGGCAAAACACTACTTTTATATACCTGGTGTTTCTGCGAAGACTTTAAAAAAACCTAAAAATTAAAACGTAAAAAAAAAAAAAAAATTTTTCGGGAACAAATTACTAGCCACGGCGGACGTCAGGAATTGTCAAAAACATAGTAATTAGCCAGCTAATTAATTAAAATTTGTTGATTAACTTTTTAATTAGGGGAAATAGACATATAGTTCCAAGTTGAAAGTTGCTGAGCGTAATCGAAAACCACTAAATCAGTCATTTTCGGAAAGACCTTGAGCGCGTGAGACGAGTAGTAGCGCACTAAAGTTACTACCACTCGTGGAGCAGGTACAAGGCTGGGGCTAGATAAGAGACGGAAAAATCGCGCGGGCGCCTTATCGCAACCGCTAGCTTTGTACCTGCTCGAAGAGCGGTAACTTTAGTGCGCTACTACGCTTCTCACGCGCTCTAAGTCTTTCTGAAAACGACTGATTTAGTGGATTTCAATAACGCTCAGCAACTTTCTACTTGGAACCATGTGTCTATTTCCCCTAATTAAAAAGGTAATTAACAAATTTTAATTAATTAGCTGGGTCATTAGTATGTTTTTGGCAATCTCTGACGTCCGCCGTGGCTGGTAGTTTGTTCCCGAAAAAAGTTTTTTTTTTTTTTTTTGACGCTTTAATTTTTAGGATTTTTGAGTCTTCGCGGAAACACCCGGTATATATATATATAGTACAATATATCTAAACCACGTATAACTTAAGTTCGTTTGTCGCTCACCCACTCCATCTTTGGGTAAGCGCAAAAAAAAAAAAAAAACGTTCGGAAAGAACGCACAATGTGTAAGAACAGAAAGGGTTGTGCTGGGGGTACGAGAAGATAACGCAAAAACCTGTCATTTCCTAACATAGCTGTCATTCAAGGATCGTCAAGGCCGGAGTGGTCAAGTCTCTAGTTAAACATGCGCTGGATAGGTCGTGCACCCCTTACATGAATCAAGCAGTACAGAGACAGTGGAAGAGACTGGTAGATGTGGCGTATTGAGAAGCTTTTATTAAAAGACTACTGTCCATACAGATCAAAGATGTGAAGAAAAAGCAGGAAACAAGGAACCGGAGAGTTGTTATGGCATATTTTCCTGACATATCTCACAACTTGAAGGCGCGTGTGCAAAAAGTTTGGTGTCGACACCGTTCTCACTACGGACTTCAAGTTAAGTAGATTGACAGCTCTTCAAAACGGACATACAGGTTGTCAAAAAGAGCACCGTGAAAAATCAGTTTCTTGAGAAGAAGGCGTAGTATACGAGTTACCGTTGGCCTGTGGTTTCAAGTATATATGTCGGTCAAACTTTATAATGTATCAATGATAGACGAACTGAGCACAAACGGAACGTAAAAAAACAAAGTGTTGAATTCGGAATTGGCTACGCATATATCAGGAATGTAACAATTGTGCGGTTGACTGGTCAGGAGCAGAAATGCTATGCAGAGAATACAAGGACATGAAACGTCTTGTGAAAGGAACGATTAGAATAAATACTTTGGGCAATTGCGTTAGTCAAGTTTCAATGCAGCTAGTAAACCAGTCCAAAATTTTTCTCAAAATGTGAATGTATTCTTTTTTTTCTACGCTGTACTTTTTTTTTTCTTTTTTGTGTGTTTTGTTTGGAATGTCCTTTATGTATTGTTCAAGAAGACATTGTATGAAGCGTGCGGTTCTGTCTAATGTTTTGGACGTTTGGTGTCGTTTTTTTGTGCTTTGTTAAGAAACTCCTTACAGAGAACAATGGTGAACTCTTGGGGTATAGAAGGTCTTCTTTGTGGTAAAGGGAGAAGCGTATCGGTGTGCGTTGGTGGTGACGTTAGGAGCTGGTCATAAAAGCTCTGGACGCAATAAAATTTGTTAGCCGAGTTTGGGGCACTTTCTGACCCCTTATTTTTGTGTCTTACACTTTTCTTTCAATTTTCCTTCCAAGTTTCAGGATTTTAACATAATGATCAGAAATATATGTTTTGAACGGAAATGAATGGAACGACGTCACAAGACTCTTTTTGGCGCTTGAGACATCTATATGAACACGGGCTCGCAACCGCGGGCTGCGTACGGCCCGCGGGTCGCGCATTTGAAACCCCTACCCGAGTCTCCACTCCGTTTCAACTTTCGATGGACCGCGACGGACGGTTTATACACGAGCCATCGCAACCAATCCAACGCCGCGAACGTATACCACGTAACCACCGCCTTGCGTGTCGCTGCGTCTTTCCAGAAAGTCACGTGAATCTCACAGGGCGTTTCGATTGGTTCCGATGGCTCGTGCGTCCTATGTGGGCCATTTGAGGTGAACCGAAGTATATAGAGTGATGAGAGCTCGCCTCCGGTGGATAAACAGTCACGCGCGCGCACGCGGAACGGAGCTTAGAAGGGCAGCCTCGAAACATGCACCGCTCCACGAACAATCCTCGAAGCCTCCACGCGGTGTTTGTTGCGGCAAACAACTCTTGTCCCTTATCGGAGGGTAGGGGCAGAAACCGCGATGTCGTCATAGCGTGGATTACGCTGCGCCCGACACCTTCTTTCTCAGATAGGCAAAGAAAAAAAGTGCGCGCTCTATGCATGATATACGCTCGAGCTGCATCCGAGAGATTTGCAGCCTGCGCAGACTGCAATGTGTCGGTGACTGCGGTTGCAGCAGGTGCACCAGCGGCAATCCTGTAGAGCCACCCCCCCACCCTGGTCCCCCTTCCCGCTGTCGCTCGACCCCATCCCACGATGCCGCCGCTGTCCCGTGCACCATCCAGCGGCCGAATGGTCCCCGTCGCCAAGTTGGCCTGGGTTTCCATCTTGATGGCCTTCCTGTGGCCCTACTTCCTGGCGCGGTTCCTGTGTCGGATCTGGCTGCGCTTCCTAAGAGGCTGCTTCAGTGAGTTTCTCTCCCCTTTCCCAATTCCCTCCACATCTTAAAGCCCCAGTCGCACGGCTGTCAAGCATAGTCGATGTATGCTTCGCATATATTTGCGCTCAGTTTGTGTATGACCAATGTGACATAGACAAGGAGGAAACACGTCCCAGACAGAATCTGCGGACGGTCTTTTTTTGTTATTGGCTGAAGCTGAGCATGTTGGTTCATTGCTTGTGAATGGGGCCAGCTGAACATGGAAAACACACGGAGAAAAAATATAACATTCGCACCGCTGGACTAGCAACATTTAATGATTCCTCTTTTTCCTTTTCTGCTAATCCTTGATTCCGGTTTCCTTTTTCTTTACACTTAGATTTTTTAATTGTTTACACTTGATTTACGTTTTCTTTTTCTTTACGCTTAATTCGGAATTTCTCTTCCTTAAACGCATTGTCCTTTCTGCCTTCGGAATGTTCTCATCCCTTTTCTTCTGTCTCCCTTAAACGGTCTTCCTCTTCTTCTACTTTTGCCTGGTCCTCATGTCACTCCGCAGGAAAATCTTCTCGGAGTTGTGTAGTGCGACGGAAGGGGCACTAACACAGTCCACGCCTTTTTCTTCAATGGCTAGGGCTTCCAGGAGTTCACGGGCGAGTTGATTTTTATGTCGCCCCACGATGCTTACGTTGCACAAGGTTGCCCCGCATTGGCATGCGCGACAATGGGCTGCAAGGTGTCCCGCTGCTGTCACGTTTCGTAGAGATGTGGCATGTTCTCTGGTTCTATCGTTGATACAGCGCCCTGTCTGCCCTGTCTGCCAACAGCAAGGTCTCGCATCATTCCAAAGTGCGGTTGGCATGTCACTCGACAGCTTTTTGGAATTGCTTAGTACTTACCTGAAGGCGACGGTGGTGTCCTATCAAAATCAGCAGTATGTGCAGAAAAGGGGCGTTTGCATCGGGTCTCGCGTGGCTCCCTACCTCAGCGATGTGTTTCTCGCATCATGTGGACTTGCTATCCAACGAAGCATGAAAGATCCCCGGGTTGAAGTCATCTTCCGCTACGTTGATGATTTTTTAATACTTTGTAACACGGAGGTAGAAGAACAAAACAACGGTTGCCGCGAGCATGTCATGAGGTGCTTTGAACAGAGCTGCTCAGGACTTGAGTTCACTCATGAACTACCCGTAAACAAATCTATCAGATTCCTCGATCTAGCCTTAGACTTTAAAGAAGACCACGTCTGCTGGCGATACCAAGCTCGATCCTGCAAAGCGTTCCTTCCATTCGAATCCGGACACTCAAAGAACGTGAAACGTGGGGTCGCCACCACGGCACTAACATCTGCCTTAAAGAAGTCTTGCGAACACCAGATCCAGAAGAGTTTCGACACTCAGATATCCAGGCTACTTGATGCTGGGTATCCGGAAACGCTACTGGTATCAATATGTGAAAGGATCTCCCAGAAGTTGAAGCGCGGACAGGAAGGCACCGAGCAAACAACAAAGAAAAAGAATGCAAGTCCCATAGTGGTAGCACCATATCTCCATGGCATCACTCACCGACTAAAAAAGATCGCAGGCCGGCAAGGGGTCCAAGTGATAAGCTCCGCGCCAAACAAAGGGTATTCAATGTGCGGCAGGGTAAACGAAGACCAACGTAGGCACCAAGAGGAATGTAACATCGCACACAAAACAAAGTACGCCCAATGTCAAAAAGAGGTCATTTATAACATTCCATTAACATGTGGAAGGTGTTATATTGGGCAGACAGGGCGCTGTATCAACGATAGAACCAGAGAACATGCCACATCTCTACGAAACGTGACAGCAGCGGGACACCTTGCAGCCCATTGTCGCGCATGCCAATGCGGGGCAACCTTGTGCAACGTAAGCATCGTGGGGCGACATAAAAATCAACTCGCCCGTGAACTCCTGGAAGCCCTAGCCATCGAAGAAAAAGGCGTGGACTGTGTTAGTGCCCCTTCCGTCGCACTACACAACTCCGAGAAGATTTTCCTGCGGAGTGACATGAGGACCAGGCAAAAGTAGAAGAAGAGGAAGACCGTTTAAGGGAGACAGAAGAAAAGGGATGAGAACATTCCGAAGGCAGAAAGGACAATGCGTTTAAGGAAGAGAAATTCCGAATTAAGCGTAAAGAAAAAGAAAACGTAAATCAAGTGTAAACAATTAAAAAATCTAAGTGTAAAGAAAAAGGAAACCGGAATCAAGGATTAGCAGAAAAGGAAAAAGAGGAATCATTAAATGTTGCTAGTCCAGCGGTGCGAATGTTATATTTTTTCTCTGTGTGTTTTCCATGTTCAGCTGGCCCCATTCACAAGCAAAGGTCTTTTTTTTGTATGGCCGTCGCGACTCCAGCGACCTATAGGGGGCGCCACCACCAAACAAACATGGCGGCTGAGTCCAGGTCGCGTCGGCTCGGCCGGGCCGCCTGAACAGGTGGCGCGTTCAATTTAACAGATTTTCTTTTGTTTAATGCCCAATTTTATAGGTATTTGAACTGAGGCGGTTAAGTGTAGCCGGTGCAGATAAACTGGCAGAGCATAGCTTTGTTTTCCAACTGTGTTTTTGTTCTTTTCATGCCAAACTTTCCTTTCGGAGATTTTGTTCGAAACCGAAACTATGGGCTCTGGAGAGACGGTAATATACTAACCAGTTTTGATCATCTAAGGAAAGCGGCAATGAATGCAGAATTTTCCCACCGACAGTAATTTTCAGCCAACTCGCATGCCTCGACCATGCGACTTATCTGTCCGCGAAATCGACCTTTTGTGCGTATCCGCGTTTAAGAAACAGCTTCAGTCGTATGCTCGGTCAACAACACCGGCTGCAGGAAAATTACGAAAATTAAGCAAGCGCTTCTTGAGCCAAGGAGCATGTTAACCCGCCAGCACCCCAATAAGCAGCTGATACTCGTATTTCAATTCAGGTTTTAGTAGCAATCGAGAAGTCATTTGGACGAGCGGGTTATGTATTATATTACGTAGTATGTCCCACTAAAGCGAAATTAGTATATTCTTCGGTTTGAAATATGAGCTTAGTTAACTAGCTATTAGGTGAACTGCTGAATAAAAATATATTTGACAGACAAAGAGATACTAGGTTAAACTTAACCAAGTGGTTCTAGCCGGTAGCACGGAGACGAATGCGGACAAACTGAAGAGAGTCTTGATTGGAGATTCACGCAGAACCTCTCTGCATTGAGCTTGACTTCGAATCCTGAACAGAAAAAATGAGTATTTTTGTAGTCGGTCAACCTGAGCAATGTAGACGTATATTGCTGCTGGCTTAATTCGACGGAGGTATAATATAAATATTAGAAGCGCGATAGATCATAATGCCATGAATGCTTCTAGCGTTGCGAGACGCGTCCCCCACCTTTTGAAAACAGATAATTTTCCTCATTCATCATTTGCAGCGAGCAGGTTTTCCTAAATCAAGTAATTGCAAAATCAGCCCAACTCCTTCAGAGTGGTCCGGAGGCTTTTTCGGCGAAAAGCAGCCAAGATGAATAGCCAACGCACCGACCGGCGTTAGCGGCTCAAACTTGAAGCTAATCGAACACAACCAAACTCAAGAAAAGCAGCTATCGAACCTTCCCATTCACTTGACTGCAGCATTGGTGTTCCCTCCAGTGAAATGCCTCGTCTGTCGTCCTCCACCTGTTCTACATCCTCATAAAGAAACCCCTTATCAGTTACCAAGTAGTCGTGATTTTGAATGTGATTCGAGACAGACAAGAAATCAAAACGTTTTTTCCGCGATTCCTCCCCATCCAAGAAATTGAAAATACGTGATGGAAGGAAACAATCTACTGAGGTTTCGCCACACTAATGAAGACTCAGGCAAACTTAAGAAATTCCCGGACCTTCGTTAAATTACATTGTTCACCACCGCGCCGACAACACGTGTCCGCGAAAGCCACCAGAGACGCGGAGGAGCGCGGAGCTACCTGGACCGGCTGGTTCCCGGTTTTCCCGCTTGGTGGCGTCCGTTTTGCTGGAGTCGCGATATGACTTCCACTGGCGTCACGCCGGCGGCCAGTGTGGTGGTCTTTGCTATTGATGGCGCATCTTTTGCTGCGTGCGTTTCGCACCCGTCAATTTTTTTTTATTTATTTATTTTTTTTTTTTTTTTGCAAAAAGAAGTAATATATTACCAGCATGATACGATGACATCGCGTGCAAACCATGTAAAGCAACACCTATCTATATAAATTACAAGGCCGTTGTTCACTCTTGCAACAACCATATATGCATGCTATATAAAGCTGCGCAGTGATTCTGATGGAAGGTGCTTTCGATTTCGTAGTGATTATCACCGGTTAAATACAAATTCCATCGTGTTTTGCAAAATGAGCCAGATGAACCCTTGTCGGAATGAGGTCTGCTATAACCACCAATGCGCGCACCAAGCAGGCAGCTATTATACACCTTTCAGCGCTTGTCGCCCATGGGCGCAAAATGCCTATTCACTGGACCGTGGACGCATGCGCGGTGTTTGATATTTGGCAGAAGAGTTTCTGCGCATGACGAAGATGGCAGCGCGCGGAAGGCATTTATTGGAACGGTCTACAATCTCCGAGAGACCAAAATACACTATTTCTGAACTCTGAACCATGGCTCAGAGTTCGAGATTATGTGTTTGGTTAAAAACGACCACTGCAATGACGCTTTTTTTTTTTTTTTTTTTATGAGCAGTATTTAACAGTTATTCCGACAGCTCCCTTTGTCGGAAAGTTGAATAACTCTTTATTGTGGACGACCGTATACCCCTGGGGGGCTATGTTGCACGTTTTGGACTCCCAGGAGACTAGGAAGAAGGAAGTGACGTAGGTGTGAATGAACGTATCTTAGCAGCACCATGCAACGTGTCATCAGCGACTCCACCAATCAACATCCAAAGAGCGTTGTTGACGTCACTTCCTTCTCCCTAGTCTCCTGGGAGTCCAAAACGTGCAACATAGCCCCCTTGTTCCGCAAGCTACCATTAAAGTCAGTTGCA